AAAGTTGCTAGGCATCTGGTGCCAAGGACTGACATCAGGCAGAAGCAGGAGAGGCCGGAACAGAGATGGCCACTTCAGTAGCTAAAACAAAAACCAGTACCAAAAACAAAAACCCCATTTATATCAGTTAGACATTTCTCTATCAGCAAAGGCCTTCTAAGTAGCAGGTGCTCAAATAATAATCATCAATCTCCACATAAAGGCAGCTTGATGATCATTTACAGATAAGGACACTAGGGCTGGGAGATGAAAGACTTGAACAGGTCGTTGGGTGAGTTGGAAGCAGATAGCTAGACTCAAGTCCACATGTGTCAGTGGATAGAACTGTGACCCCTGAACAGAAACTTCTGGTACCAAATTCCACCCTTCCTCTTCCTCTATTGCTTTGGGGAATTACAAACTCTTTTTGTGCTTCGATTTCCTCCTTTCTGAAATAGCAGAAGAGTGGCACTTGCCTCAACACCTGCTTGTTCTGACCCACGGAAAGCATTTGCCACAAAACCTGGCACACAGCAGGCACAGCAGTGCCAGCTCTCACTGAGACTGAATGCCAGCACAGTGCACATTCAGCTGTCAGTCATTCAATAAAGACATGAGCAAAAACTGATTAAAGTGAACTGTTTTATTCCTGTGTCCTTGCACAGGGATGAAGGAACTCTCTGGAGTACCTTTCACAAAGTACACATCCTGTTTTCGAGGGTTTTCCCCACATGATCTCATTGCCTCCTAATAGCCCCACCTCTAAATACCATCACATTAGGGTCAACAAATTCTAGGGGACACAGTGTGTCCAGTAGTCACGGCATCTCGATTTTCTTCCCTAACTCCACAGTGCTGAAGACAGTTTTCTTATCTCTGATTTAGCTCGGGGTACCTGGTTGCAGCCAGATTTAAAGTTCCCACACTCCTGGCTCATAATTTTAGTCAGAAGACTGAATTGCTGACCATTAATGTTTAGTAAGGTAACTGAATACAACTACTCTTGAAACTCTCTATTGAAAGCACACTGGGAAGATACAATGAAGAGAGACCACTGGAGGGTAGTGGATTGGATATTTGGTTCTGTTTAAATCTATGTGGTTAGAATTAATTCCAGCTGATAACAGACATAAACTTAAATATACAAAAGTTTACTTTAAAAATGATTTCCTTTAGGAAAAGAAGAATGAATAGATGGAGCACAGGGGATTTTTAGGGCAGTAAACTTATACTGAATGATTCCATAATGGTGGATACCAACACCCCATTGGACATCTGTCCAAACCCTAGAATGTACAACGTAGGAACGAACCCTAATGTAAAGTACCAACTTTGGTTGACAATGGTTTGTCAGTGCTGGCTAATTGACTGTAACAAATGACCTCTCTGGGAGTGGTGTTGACATGTGTGTAGGAGGGGTACATGGGAACTCTCTGTACTTTCCACTTAATTTCACTGTGAACCTAAAACTACTTTTAAAGATTAAGTCTATTTTGAAAATTATTTCATTTCTAAAAAAAAAGCGTTCTCATGTAAACATGTTTGTGAACAAGCAGAACTTTATGATTTTCAAAATGTTCTTTTTGTTTTTAAAAATCTTAGAGCCATTTAAAAAAAATAAGATAGTAAATTTATTAGAAGCACAAAGAAGGGATTTGATAAGAGGACCTCTGTGGTAAATTATTTTGTTTAGTGAAGAATCACTCTAATAAATTTGATGTTTTGTTTTAGTCTATATGATAAAACAAAACATAAAATTCATTGATAAATCCAGGGATGCTTTGAGTATCACAGACTAGGAATTCCAGATTTTAAAGATATCTTTAAAACAGAACCCTGGGGGCTGGGGTTGTGGCTCAGTGGTACAGTGCTTATTTAGCATGTGCAAGATACTGGGTTCGATTCTCAGCACCACATATAAATAAGTAAATAAAATAAAGGTTCATGACCAACTAATAAAAATATTTTAAAAAACCACAACAGAACCCTGAAACTTGGGGTACAGACTCTCTCAAGCAGTTGCAAAGAACTCTCTGAAATAACTGGATGTTTTCTCTGTATTTTCTGATTGTTTTATAACCTTGTACAACTGTAGACTGGTAAAAGGAGGTAGAATATTCGAAGAAATAGGCAGATGAGGGAGTGTAGCTCACTGATAGAACACTTGCCTAGCATGTGCAGGGCCCTGGGTTCAGTCCCCAGCACTAAAAAGAAAGAGAGAAAGAAAGAGAGAGAGAAAGGAAGGAAGGAAGGAAGGAAGGAAGGAAAAGAAAAGAAATAGCCTGATGATTTTATGGGATAGAATAGAAAGAGAATCCCTGCAGTCGTGGGAGACTAGGAGAGGTATAAATGGCCCTTTTCATTCTTGGAGGATGAGATGATTCTCTAGAATGTAGTTTACTATGGTGGTTCCTTCCACTCCTGAGGGTGACTGTGGACAGTCACAAAAAAGGAGAATTCCACCAAGATTCCAGTTGTAAGAGGTATCAGATAAGAGGCACTTCTAGTGCCTTGCACAGTATGTACTAAGCATATATCTTTTTACGGGGGGGGGGGGACGGGGGGGGGAGGAAGCACTGGGTTTTTGATGAAACATTCTAAATGAAGAATGGTTGTCCTTTTCAAGTAGCAAAAGATCCTTGCAGAATGAGACTCTGTGAGAGGGCATCAGAAGTCCCTAAATAGAACAACAGAAATCGTAATAAATGGAAACCAAAGAGCAGGTGATTCTGTTAGGGTCAAGTAGAATCCAGACCCAAGTCAAGTCGCTGTCAAGTGAGCGGGAATGTCAGAAGAGCTCAGGTCCTGCCCAGATGGGGCTGTGCAGTGCTATCCACAGGCACTGGGGGCTGGGAGAGGGGGACTTTGAGGCCCTGGGGGCAGGCGAGTTAGGTGGGAATTAGAAATTGACAGAATTATGATTCTAGTTTTCCCAACTTGGATTTTCCCTCTCCCACCAAATCATACATTAACTTCTATGATATGTTTGTTGTATAAAAGGTTTTATACGAGCTGCATATATCACCTTGTAAACACCTTTAGAAATGGTAGTACTTTTAACTGATTCACACTTATCAGCTTTAATGCCATTCAGTGAAAATACTTGAGAATATCACAGCTGAGTAAATATTAAAGAAAAACAAAGAAAACTTTAGGTAGAATGACTATAAAAAGTAATAAGCCAGCCAAGTTCTTTGATTTGAATTACTTTTAATCCCTATTACTTGTCAAAAGAAAAGGGGAAGAAATCCCCTCAGTAAAATTCAGAAATATGATCACCAAGCAAAAACTCCCCTCTAATTAAGTCTCAAATGGAAATCCAGTTTTTAAAAAAATTGCCGTGGTCAGTTGTTGACACACCAGGACAATCTACAAACACAGTTGTTCAAACACAACAGATTGCCCTCACTCTGCAGGTCCATTAATCACAATTCAGCTTGCTATCAGAGAGAAAATGACTGGTGTTATTAAATTTCCACCCCATCACCTTGACTTTTATTTAGAGCCATTCATCAATAATTTCCCTCCTCATTGGAAGCCACAAGTTAACCAAGCTAGAAAGTCATCAAAGAAATACAACAGACTTGATGATATCTTGGAAATGTAAATGCTTAGTGTGATTTTGTTAATTCACAAAGTTTCTTAACCATCTCAGTCATCTATTCAAGATACTTTTTAAGCCTTTGCATCAGAGCCCATCAGCTACAGACATATCAAGTAACATGTGAGGAAAACTCTTGAAGTAATAGTATCCAGCATTGGCCTCCTCCAGTGTGACAAATTGTTCACTCTTTTTAATGGTTCCCCCAAATCCACCTCTATTTAAGGAACCACAACTCCTTAATGATAGACTGCTAGTTTCATTTCACTGACAGAGCTGACTTCATGAGCAGGTGACTTGGGCAGTCACTAGGGCCCTGCACTTCGTTTAACACTCTGCTTTTCCTGTCACAACATTCTTCACATTTTTTGAAGAAGGGCCTTACATTTTCATTTTATACTAAGCTCCCCAGATTCTATAGCAGGTCCTAAGGAATGAAAGATGTGAAAGTGCTCTGAAAAGTGTTTGCTAAATTTATTAATGCCCTGCCTCCAATAAATGTCCCATGTTCTCATCTCTGGAACCTGTGAATGTTGTCCTATATGGCAAAAGAGACTTTGTAGATGGGATTAAATTAAGGATTTTGAGATAGATTATCTGGATTATCTGGGTGGGTCTAGTGCAATCACAAGAGTTCTTATATGAAGGAGGCAGTAGAGTTAGGATGGAAAGTCATATAAGGGTGGAAGCAGAGTGAAGGGGGTAGTGACTGTTATATGAGGTCATGAGTCAAGGAATGCAGGTGGCCTCTAGAAGCTGGAAAAGCCAAGGAAACATCATCATCTCCTAGAGTTTCCAAAGAGAACACAGCTCTGCAGATCCATTTTGGACTTCTGACTTCCAGAATGCAGGATAATAAATTTGTTTTTAGTTATTTAATTTGTGGTAATTTGTAGATGGGATTAAATTAAGGATTTTGAGATAGATCACTTATCACAATTTGACTCACTTCACTACATGAAGTGATGTGTTGCTCATTTTGTAGAAATCAAAATTGTTGATAAGCAAATAGCAGCTACCACTTATTGAACACTTCCTATGTGCTATGCATTATACTAAGCCCTTTATGTATATACATTTATGAAATCCTAGAACAATATTTGAGGTGGAAATTAAAGCCATATAACTAACTAGAATGTGTCAGATTTGGGATCCAGGTTCAGTCTAAGTCACTCCAAGTCTTCCTGTACGTTTATCTTCGTTCCCATATTTCCCAGTAAACTTTGGCCTGTCCTCATGCTTTAACTTGCATTATGTGTGCACTTGTCACCGCAGCCGTAGGGGTGGGACCGGGCAGGAGGTGACACCCACTGGGGAGTCTGAAGGAGGAGGTGCTGAATGCTGAATCCATCTCGTCAAGACGCTGCTGGCGTCCAGGCAGCCGAAGGAGACACGAGGCTATATGAAAGCGAAGGAGACGATGAGGCTCGGGCTGCGCGGCCGGCCCAGGAGACTCCCGGCTCCCTGCCCGCCCGCGGGTATTTTGGAGCCCGCGTGGTCTCGCCTCATTGGCTGCCGCGGGGCCGAAAGGAGAAGCAGCCTCCGCCCACTAGCTCCCGAACTGCCGCGCGGCGCCGCGGGGCCGCCGGGACCACAACTCCCAGAAGGCCGCGCGCTGGGGGCGTGGCCGCGGCCGAGGACGCGGGGGGCGGAGCCGCCGGGGCATGAAGCGGGGGCGCGCGGCGCTCCTACCTCAGTCGCCGCTGCCGGGTGCCCGAGAGCGTCCCCTGTCTCCCACCGGCGCGCAGACCTCCGCCCCTGGAGGCGCTCCGCCGCCCGCCACCGTCCTCGGGGGTCGTCGCCCGGCAGCTCGCCTCGACGGGCCCGGCCGGCCGCGGCCGGGGAGGACAACATGAGTCGGGGGGCCCGCCGGGCAGGCGCCGGGCAGGGGGCGGCGGCCGCGGTGCAGCTGCTGGTTTCCCTCAGCTTCCTGCCGCGCGTCGTCGAGGCCCAGGTGAGCCGGGCGGGGGCTGGCCCGGGGCCCTCGGCCCGCAGCGAGCCGGAGGCCGGGGCGCAGGTGCGAGGGGGAGCGGGGCGGGGGCGAGCCGACAGGTGCGGGAACGGCCGCGAACACCGGCGGAGCGCGGGGCGGCCCTTGGCGGCGGCCGTCGGCAGCGGAAGGGGCGACGCCTCCTAGTCGCTCCCGCTGGTGTCCCGGCGATGGTTTCGGCGGCTGGGAGCGCGGCGGAGCTGGGACTGGATGGAACCGCGGCCGTCGTGGAGAAGGGCGCACGGAAGTGGGACACCCCACTGGCCTCCGGGCGCCACCCGGGCCGAGGCGGCGACCCGCCCAACGGACCCCTCGCTCGCCTGGATGAGTGCGGTGGGCGCGCAGCGCGCCCCAACTTCCTCCGAGGCGGGCGCGGGAGAGCACTCGGCTTTACCCTTGCCAGGCGCCTGGGTCCGCGAAGTGGCGCTGTCAGGTGCGCCGAGTACGCGGGCGGGGGTCCGTGGTGTGGGCTCGTGAGCGGAGCCCTTGCCCTGCCAGTCCTGGGGTAGGGGGTGTTCCCAGAGTGCTGAAGTTGGAGGGGTCGCCGACCTTCTCGGCGTCTTTTATTTATAATTAGAGCAAACTGCCAGGTGCTGCCGTCTTCTCTGCACCTGCTGCAAAGTGGCATCGTTGTTGTGAGGGAGGAAAAAAAAAAAGTCTCAGGTGGCCTGATAATGAGGGGAGATGTGAAACAATTAATGTGCTAAGAAAAATGGACGGTAACTGTGAGTGTAACTACGTAAACAATTTTTTCTTACTTTTTCTTGGCTTCATGTTGTCCAGCACTAAATCCCAGAATGCCATACATTTGGGGGCATGTTTGAATAATTTTCAAAAGAATGATTTGATAAAAATAAAAGGGACAGGGCTGGGGATATAGCTCAGTTGGTATAATGCTTGCCTAGCATGCGCAAGGCCCTGGGTTCAAACCCCAGCACTACCCCGCAAAATAAATAAATAAATAAATAAATAAATAAATAAATGCAGATTCTCTGGCCCTACTTCCAGGAGTTCTGATTAAGTGAATCCAGACAATGACCCAGAAAGCAGCATTTAAAATAAGCCTTGCAGATAACTGTAGCGCCATTATTTTTTTGACCATCTCTTGGACTAGGCTTGGCAAACACTGAAATGGTGGAATTCTGGACTTATCTACCAGATTTATGAAAAGTAAAGTTTCCACAGTGTCTTTGGCAAAATTTTTTCTAATTACTAATTGAGTGGAATTTACATTTATATCTTTTTCTAAAATGGGATTTCTTATTTTCTATTTTCACATAGCATATATTGTATACTTAATCACTAGAAACTTTTAGGTTTCTTCACCTACCACTAATTATGTATAATTAATTTTAAAATTTTACCTGTACTTTTTAAAAATTTTATTTTTTGTAGGTGTAGAAAAGCACAGTACCATATTTATTTTATGTGGTGCTGAGGATCGAACGCAGTGCCTCACATGTGCGGGGCAGGTGCTCTACCACTGAGCTACAGCCCCAGCCTTTCATGTGTACTTATAATTTCCTTATATCCAAGTGAAAAAATATATATATATATATATATATAGTTCAACAGTTAAACATTTGTGCATGTTCAAAGTTATATCATGCCAAATAGAGTGGATATATTTTTTATTTCCAGTGGTACTTTCTTTTTTTTAAAAAAATTATTTTTTAGTTGGACACAATACCTTTATTTTATTTATTTATTTTTATGTGGTGCTGAGGATCCAACCCAGGGCCTGCACGCCCTAGGCAAGGATGCAACTGCTCGTCTACAACCCCAGCCCCTCCAGTGGTACTTTCTAATGTAGTGTCTTTTGGTACATCTCTCAGAAGTTGGGCCATAGTGGTAACTGAAGTTCAGAGAACTTGAGTGATGTTAAACTGGAGCCCTAATACAGACTTCTTTTTGCTTACAGTTTTTTCAGCGTATTTGTTTCCCTGTAGTATAGAAAAGCAGAGAGAGAGAACTAAGTAGAGCTAAGTTCTTCCACTTATATATACTAAATTGGTAAAAAAATAGTAAAGTTGAAGGAAGTAATTAGAATTTTTGAAAAATGCCTCTGTTCACAAGGAAATAGTCATTTAAGGAGATATATATTTTAAATGTAATGAAAGCAAGGAAAAATTTTTGAGCACACAAAGTATTTGTATCTCATGCTCCATTTTCTTATAAATGTAAACATGTAGGGACTGGGGCTTTTGCTCAGCGGTAGCTCACTTGCCTGGCATGTGTGAGGCATTGGGTTTGAGTCTCAGCACCACATATAAATAAATAAATAAATGATCTAACAACTGACAAAAAAATTAAAAAATGTAACTATGCTTTGTAGTATATAGTACGGTGAGCTAAACAAATACAAGTAAGTGATAGAACAGTCTTTCTAGAAAATGTAATTTCATCTGGGGATATTGGAAATCCTAAAGGCCTTTCTGAGGAGGCATGAATTCAAGGAACCTTCAAAGCACTCAGGCAAATTGAAAGCCAGCCACTTGGGGCCCCCATCATGCTGTACCAGTCCATTACTCTGGAGATTCTCTCAAACCCTTTGAACTTCTGCTGTAACAGTTTTATGGGGTGGACTGGGTAAGAAATAATACCTATGTCTGCCCAAAGAGAGGAAACTGATGAGAGACCCTATCATAAACTTGTTGTCCAAAAAGCTACATCCTTAACGTAAGAGATGAGTAATGAATCCTGCCATAAGAGGAAAGTAAAGAAACTTGCTAGAGGAGGTGGGGGAAACTCCCTTGAGAATTTGTAAGCATAAGCCAGTCCTTACAAAGTTTGCAGGCTTACTTCATACCACTTATGCTAGGAAAAGTTTCATGTAGAAAATTTAATTTATAGCAGTTCCAAGTTTGTATCCCCCAGGTTACCAGGGAAAGCAAATATCCATTCCCTCTGGAGAAATTTAATTTTAACTCAAGTCATAAAGAATTTTTGAAGATAAAATGTCAGGAAGAATAAACAATAGTTAAAAAAAATCTGAAAACAGGGCACCATGAATCAGGTGCAGACAGTTCTTGACCTGCAATGGGTCCCCCTTAATCATTTTATGATTTTCAGTTTTATATTTAGACAGTATTTTAACCCAAAACATGCTTAGTTATACATGGTATGAAAGCAACATTCTTTCAACACAAACTGTACTCTTTTCGTGAGCTGTCACTCTCTCAATGCTGAGCAATGGCAGTGGGCTATAGCTCCCTGGTGAGCATGAGGGTAACCCCCTATATTATACAGGGTACTGTGTTTCTAAGCTGTGATGTCTTGTAAGTTAGGTGTCTCAAAGGCATTTCCACTTGATAGTTTCAATTTCCAGGATGTATTCATGTTGTAAGTTGAGGAGCATCTGTATTAGAAACAGAAACATAATGAAATTATCAGATAGTTGAATATCTTTGATTACTATGTTTAAATAAAAAAAAAGAAGCTTGAAAGTATAGAAATGGAATAAGAAATTTAAAGAATGACCAAAAGGATTAAAAAATAATAGGTGAAGAAATAAAGTTTCAATGGATGGATTAAATAACTGATTATACCCATCTGAAGAAATGATTTTTTTTTTTCAGTACTGGGAATTGAACCCAATGGTGCTCTTCTACTGAGCTGCATTCCCAGCCCTTTTTATTTTTTGAGACAGGGTCTTGCTAGGTTTCCTGTCCTTGAACTTGAGTTCTTCTGCCTCAGTCTCCTGAGTAGCTAAGATCACAGGCATTCACCACTATACCTGGCTTGAAGAAATGATTATTGAATTACCCACATCCTGTCTTCTTTTTCTTTTTCCCCCATCACTTTCTCTTCCATTCTTATTGGCTTCATGCGGAACAGAATTGGAGCAATCAAAAGAGAATTTCCACAGAGTAATTCACATCTATCCACTTATAGGGCTCTTTACCTATAGGTTTGATTTCCTGTTGGTTACCATGGATGAACTAATCATGAATAGTTCTTGTCAAAAACCATTTCCTCCACATATATTTTAGGGCCCATATCTTTCCCCTTCAAGGACATGGTTCCAAAAGTGTTCCCTTTCTCTTTTGAATCATTGGTTTTTTACTTCTCTAATAAAACAAGCTATTGGGATAAGGGTGTAGCTCATTAGAAGAACACTTCCCCAGCATATGGGAGGCCCTGGATTTGATCCCCAGTACCTCAAAAACAAAAATATTGTTTACATCTTCTTTCTTGATCCACTCTTCTTTTCTGCCCCATTTTTCTTGTTCTTTCAAGAAAAATTGAAAAGCATTGTATTTTTTCCTCCTATTTCTCTTTGTTCCATTCCAGTCAGACTTTTGTCCCTAACACTCCTCTGAAACTGCTCTCATCAAGGTTACCAGTGTCCTTGTTGCTAAGGCCAATAGTTTTCAAACCACAGCTTTACCTTTTGACAGCATTTTTCATAGCTCCTCATTGACACTTCTTGGAGTACCTTTTTCTTTTTTTTAATAATATGTATTTTTTAGTTTTAGGTGGACACAATATCTTTATTTTCTTTTTATGTGGTGCTGAGAATCGAACCCAGTGCCTCATGCATGCTACCACTTGAGCGCGCTACCACTTGAGTCACATCCCCAGCCCATACTTTCTTCTTTTGACATTCAGGACACAATAATTTTTTTGGTGGCTGGTCTGAGTGCAATGGTGTTTACAGTACTTTTCTAGTGTTCTTCCCGTGTGATGGAGCAGTCTTTCTTAGTATCCTTTGCTTGTTCCTCCTCTGCCCTTGACTGCCAGTCATTTAAACTTCAGAGTTCACATCTTGTACTGTTTCTTTATCTTCTTCACTTCATCTAGTCTCTTGCATTTAAATACAATACCATCAGTATTGCTGACAGATTTAAGTCTCCAGATTGGTATTCTCAATTCTACATCTGTGTATCTAACTTTTCTTTTAACATCTCCACTTGGGTGATTAATAAGTATCTCAGACTTGATTATTAAGAAATTGCTGATTT